TTCTCCAGACTAAGAACAGCTCAGAAGGAAAATTAAAGAGTGGGATGGTCTAATAGTTTAATAGGGACTCTGACTAAATTAATAAAGAAGTTCAGTTAGATTTCCATGATGATCTACTGATGGCAGAAAGACTTTAAAACAATATTTGATGGAGCTCCAGACCAATCAGCCCCAAGAAGCAAAGATGAGAAGAAAAGTAACTCCATGTTGGTCAGATGGATGTTTCAAGTTCTGGGAGAAAAAATAAAGAACTTTGGATTTTAAACAAAACTCAAAACATTCAGGATTTAATAAAATATAAATTACATAAAAAGTGAAGAAAAAATTCATGAGACAAAAAAGTGAGAATTTTAACAGTTTCATCCATTTAGTAGTTTGATCTCCACCAGGGGGCGACATCTGGGAAATGATCAAAGAATGAAAGGAATCAGGAGAGAATGGAAATCCCTTGTTTTCCAGAGGAAATGAAGAATTGAAGTGAATGATGGTGAAAAAGTAGAATTGTGCTCTGTTGACTGGTAGAAATTAAACAATAATAAAACCTTTTAGACAGATCCGAGAAAAGACTAATGTGTTCAGGTTTTCAGTAGTTGGGAAGCTTTTTGGAATGTTCAATAAAGTTTGGGAAAAATTCCCAACATGTTGGAAAAAGGCAGAGACCCTTCATGTTGGAAAACCAGGGAAATATCCATCCGATCAATCAGATTCCAGATCCACAGCTCTGATGTTACTTTTAGGATCAATAATGGAATGGTAATAAGAGAAAGAATCAGATTTTATTGATAAAGTAGAGGAATGATATCAGCCCATCAGATGGTTTAGAAGAGGGAGAGGAAGCATCATGGGACTGCAGAGGTCCTTCACCTGATCCTGTTGTTGGGACAAGAACTTTGTTGGACTGTTCCTGTCTCAGTGGAGGACAATGTGTGTCTGAGAGACATGTAATGTCCATGTTAGCTGCAGAAAGAGACTGATGGTCTGACCCCCCTCCTCCTTTCAGGGTGGAGCCTGCTGGAGGCCGATTCTTGACTCCAGGTCTGAGGAAATGTAAGTGTTTTTTCATCTGATTCATGACAACAAAGCAGCTCACATTCAACCATCTTCAAACTGTCACATCACTCATTCAGGAGTCAAAGTGTCAATAAATGATCAATAACTGCAGCTGGATTGTGTTTGTTCTCTCCATCAGATTCCTGTCAACTCGCCATCGACACAAACACAGTGAGCAGAAAACTCAAACTGTCTGAAGACAACAGGAAGGTGACATATGTGGAGGAGTTTCAGTCATATCCTGATCATCCAGACAGATTTGATTACTGGCATCAGCTGCTGTGTAGAACTGGTCTGACTGGTCGCTGTTACTGGGAGGTTGAGTGGAGAGGAGATGTTTATATATCAGTGAGTTACAGAAGAATCAGGAGGAAAGGAGACAGTAGAGACTGTTGGTTTGGAGGGAATGATAATTCCTGGAGTCTGAGATGCTCTGAGATTGGTTACTCTGTCATTCACAATCACAGAAAAACTCATCTCTCCTCCTCCTCTGTCTCTCACAGAGTAGCAGTGTATGTGGACTGTCCTGCTGGCATTCTGTCCTTCTACAGAGTCTCCTCTGACTCACTGATCCTCCTCCACACCTTCAACACCACATTCACTGAACCTCTGATTCCTGGATTTGGGTTCTGGAGACCCAGTTCTGGTTCCTCAGTGTTTTTGTGCTGATTTGAGTCTAAAGAGTCTAAAGTTTTTCCTCCTGTCAGAGAAACTCTCTCACTGTTGAACAGATAGTTCAGTCTCTCCAATCTATTTCTTGGTGAAATGATTCTGATTCTGAGAACTTTTTCTTCTTCCAGTCCTTTAAAGATGGAAGCTGGGATTATTCCAGGATTATTCCAGGATGGTCATGTTTTCTGTTTATTTCCAGTCATAGTTTCACACTGAATATCAAGATGTTGTTTCTCTTATTTTTTCCTTTCATTCATCAGATTTATTGAAATATTGATCAGTTTTTCTCAATCTGATCATTTTCTGTTTCTATCGGCTCCTATTTTTCTCAACATGTCAGATTTGAATATTAAATTTTCCTTTTGTACATTTGCTGCAGTTTTTCTTCATGTGTTTTAAATAAAAACATTTTTCTTCTGCATTTGGTTCATTTGCTGCTCATTCTGTTCTTTTTCTGTTCAAATTTAAATATTTACATTAAAAAGACTTTTTCATCAACTCTGCCTTTCAGAAAGCCCTAATTAAAGTAAAACTTTCCCATCCCATGAAGGTCAGAGGTCAATGCTTTGAAGCATAAAGTGGGAAAATCTTAATATTTTCTGTTTCACTCAGAACTTTTACCTGAAACTCAGAACCTGCAGAACATTTTTCTCTTTGGAGAAAAAATGCCAGGAACTGGAAGATCAGAGCAGAATGAAAACTGGAGATCAGTGTTGGACAGAAAAGGTCTGATCGCTGCATCTCTGCTATATTTTACATCTGATAACAAAAAGTAAACCTTTTTTTAGCTGAGAATAAATCAGCATGGATACGACCCGCCACAGCACCAACGTGGGCCACACCTGATTCAACCCAAAGTGGAAAATAAAGGATTTAATTGGAAATCCCAAAACACAGTAAAATCAGCAGCTGGTTGTGATTAAAATGCAGTTTGTTGCAGAGGTTCAAACTTCCAGATGGTGACCTCTCCTCCGTCCCTCACTTTGTCTGGCTGCTTTTAATCCTGACTGCAGTGTTAGACTGGAGCTAATCTCTCAGATTAAACAGATTAACACCGAGCTGCAACAGGAACCAAACGTCTCTCCTCCAACTTATTTCACTGATTAATAACAAGGTTGGATAAAAACATTGAGCTTCTCATTCCTTAAAGAGTCATGAAGAAAGACTCACCCTGTAACTGCAGGAAAGAAGTTAGAAAGTTTAAAATAGATGGAAAAAACTTTGTAAATATATTCTAACAAGTGATTTAATTTTCTGTTTTTGTATCTTTTAATGTATAAAAGTCTATATAAATAAAGGTGTAAATGGTTAAAAGAAATGTCTTCAGCATGAGCCAATTTTAAATCTGATTAATCGTCACAATAACTGAATAATCAGCAGAATAATCAATTCATTGTCAAAATAATCTTCAACATTGGGTTTTAAATACAGGTTTATTTAACCAAATTAGTTTCCACCAGTTAATTGGGGTTTTTACTGGTTATTCTGCTAGCTTGAATGTTTCACTGCAGTTGGTTTTGTTCCTGTTGCCTCCAAGCTGAACGTTGATCCCATGAATGTTTCCCCTCATGCAGAACCTGAGCAGAGACATTTATGACCTTTATAGTACGAGAGCCAAGAGGTGGAGGACCGGCTGCTGGTGTCGCCGTCTCACGTTCTGATGTCTCCGACCAAACTCTCCACCCTCAACATCAACATTTAAAACACGCTGCAGGAATGCAGTTTTCCTACTTTCCCACTTGAAACAATCTAGTCTAAATGTTACATACGGGGATGCATCGATATGAAGATTTGGGCCGAAATATTGATGTATTGACTGATTACGGATATTTACACTTTCAATTTGGTCTAAATTCATCAGAAATTTGGTCCATTAAAAGTGTTTATAATAACAGCAAAAGCTTCTGCTGTTAATTGAGTAAAGTCTGTTTCCACTAAAAACTGTGAGTGTTTCCTCCAGTCTGTGTTCGGCTTTAATCTCCTGCAGGAAACCAAACCTCCACGTCTCCACTGGAGTCGCTGTGGCAAAGCCTTTCAAACATTAGGATAGTGGGTCGAGACCAGACGAGAGCCGATGAGTTGATTTATTTAGAGCTGCATTCATCCATTCATCATCCCAGTTTTCCTGCCATGCAGATTAATCTCCACTAATCTGACAGCTTGGAGACCAAATGTCACAAACTGGGATTAAGATGTTGAGATGTTGAAATCTGTCACACAGAGAAAAGAAACTTCATGATGCTGTGATTTGTTCATCTGAAACACTTTTTAATCTCATTTAATCTGATCAAAGTGATTTTTACATCAGTTAATTGAACTGATTTTGGCTCATTTATCTTGTTATATCCAGTAAATTCATGAGCAATTAAGAAAGAGCTAAATTATTATGATGTCTTTTCTAGAAAACCCCTCACAAATCTTCCAATTGCTCAGTGAAGGTGTAGATAAGTGTCTGTAGTTTAAATGATTGAAAAACCCAACAAGAAAATGCAGATTTTCCATGTGAAAGCAGGTAAAGTGTAGAAACAGGAACACTGACAGTCTATCTGCTCAGGGGGATTGTTGAGCCTCCTGTCAGAACAGTGATGGTTCAAATCTTCACTCTCCACTTCGACCACTGGATCAGCAGCAGGTCTTTGGCTGCAGAGCCTTTCAGAAACATCTGAACCAGCTGTCGAACTGGACCATGTCCTCTTCGGGTCAGAGGTTGCAGTACTTGATACTTGGTAGAGTGAAGTTTTCCTCCTCACTCTGTTGTTGTGGAGTTGGAGGTCTGATCTAGATGGACGTCACAGAGAGGCTCTGGTTCTCCTTCAGTGGCTGCTGGGGATTCAGGTTGTTCCTTCCTGGACTTTAGCAGTTGTGTTGGTCATGAGCAGCAGCTGGATTGGCCTCTGGATTGGACTCAGCCAGCATTTGGAGCTCCAGAGCTTCCTCTGAAAATCCTTCATCACGACCCGTCGCCTGGTCTAATGGAGGCAGCAGGCCTTTGGCAGGAAATGGCAGGAAGGTTTTCACTGTCTATGGGGCTCAACAAAGCCTAGTGGACAGGTTTTCACAATAAGACAACACAGGAACAATCTTTTATCTACTTTCATTTTCAACCTTAGTTAGTGAGATTTGACAAAAATCCAATATTAAATGACCAAAATGTGAGTCAGGTAGAGAAGTGCAAAGGATTGAAGCATCTCAACATCAGCAAGTGTGAAAGAAGGGGCAGTTACTTCCTGAGGCCTCTGGGCAGCTAGCTTAGCAGCAGCATCACCTCTTGCATCGCCATTGGAAACCGAGTCATCCAGCATCCTGTAACCAAAGAGAACCTCTATTTTACCCATCAACACTATAAATTATAACATAGTTATGTGAGAACTATGGTGAATCAAGTAAATTTGGTCCAGATTTATTTTTGTGGTAAAACTCCAATTAAAGGAAGCCTAGTAAAGGTTTAAGTTTATTGTAAAGTCCAATTTTAAGTTTAGTTTAAAACAGTAAGTGATAAATCTCTTTTCAATGGATTTAATTAATCCAAAACATTGTGTAACATATTATGTGACATTGGGGATCAAACAGCAAAGCATCCCATGATGCATTTCATCAAAATGTTCATACATTATATTGTGCATTATGTCATAACAGAAGCCATTTGCCATTTCCATTCAGTAATTTCCAAAGAAAGAATGTAATTATCAAATTTTCTGAAGCTTCAAGATTGTCTGATTTTTCTCCTTTTAACAACATATTTTAATGTTTGAATTGAACTCTAATCTACAGGATCCTGTTTTAAGTGTTGACAGTCAAAGCAGAAATCTCAATATAATTTCGGATCACAGCAACAAATTGATCAAGTTTCTGCTGAAGCTTCACTAATTTTAGGTTTGTTATAACAAATAGTTCCAGGAAAACAAAAGGTCTTTTTAACGTCTTAGTTCAAATGTATCACAGCTCTATTTTATAAGAATTTTCTTCTATTCAATTTAAATGCCACAAATATTATCTGGTCTATCAAAATGTTATAAACACTGCAGTATCAATGATCTCTGATTCTTAACCCTGAAAGATGTTTTGTTTATTCCCATACTAATATGTAACTACAGCATAGATCTTCAACAAGGAGAACAAAAATAAATCTCAACCATCTGATGGTCAATTTTGTTATTTCATTGCAGAACTAAAGTGATTGCAGTTTCCCTTCACAGTTTCTCAATCTGTGGTTCATGGACCCTGAGAGGATCATTAGTGTTGGTCCTTCTGATCAGGACTTAGAATTAACAGGATCAATTGAAAGAGTTTTTCTATTTATTGAGCATAAAAACTATTGAAGTCATTCTTTTCTCACTAAAGAATTTATAAATATGAACGGAGTTAATAAGCCAGCAGTCTTCATGCAGGGGCAGTGTGTGTGTGTGGGCGTAGGTAAATGTTTAGAAGGAAATGTCGTCAGAATACCCACCACACTAGAAGGACATTTTGAATTAACAGGACATGAGCCGTGTCCTGCTAATTTTGACAAAAATCTAAAAACGTAGAAAGGTTTCAATTGGTCCAGTAAGCCCAAAAATGCAAAAAAAAAAAAAAAAAAAAAAAACGAGATGAACGTTTAATTCACATAAACTTGATTTTGTGTATAATCTGTTTATCACCACAATGCCCCCTTTGGCAGGTTTATGTAATAGCCAGACCTCATGAATATTCACGCGAGTACTTATTCTGATTGGTTGTCTACCGGAAGGTCCTGCTAATTATTACAATGTCCTTCTAATTCATGTGTTTGCTCATTACACTGGGGATGAGTTGGCAATATAATTACTTTATGCTATAAGACTGAATATTTTATAAAAGTTAGTTGGATTCCTAAGCCCAACCTTTTGACAAACCTTGGAATGTATGTGGCACCTACAAATATACAGAAATTAATATATATTTTGATCAAATATTGTTAATTTGAAATATTATGAATAATAAATGTGTGGAATATGTGCATGGATTAAAAGAAATATAAACCATAATAGAGCCAATTTTTCACCAAACTATTTTGGCACTCCACTGCTAACAGTTGGTTGATTCTAGTCTGTTCTACATCCCCAGAACCAGAACCAAGCATTTCAAAACATAATTTAGCTTCAATGCACACACAATCTTGAATAAACTTCCAGAAAGTTTAATTCTTTTCTCGCTAAAGAATTTGTAAATATGAATGGGGTTAAAAAGCCAGCAGTCTTCATGCAGTGGCAGTGTGTGTGTGTTTGCGTTGGTAAATGTTGTTTAGAAGGACATTTTGTCAGAATACAAGCCACACTAGAAGGACATTTTGAATTAACAGGACTTGAACCGTGTCCTGCTAATTTTGACTAAAATCTAAAAACGTAGAAAGTTTTCTATTGGTCCTTTAAGGCCAAAATTGCACAAAAAAACAAGATGAACGTTTAATTCAAATAAACCTGATTTTGTGTATAAACTGTGTATCACCACAGTGCCCCCTTTGGCAGGTTTGTATAATAGCAAGACCTCATGAATATTCATGCAAGGTCATATTCTGATTGGTTGTCTGTCCTTCTAATTCATGTTTGCTCATTACACTGGGGATGAGTTGGCAATATTATTACTTTGTGCTATAAGACTGAAAATTTTATAAAAGTTAGTTGGATTCCTAAACCCAACCTATTGACCAACCTTGGAATTTATGTGGCACCTAAAAATATTTAGAGATTAATCTATACTTTGATCAAATATTGTTAATTTGAAATATTATGAATAATAAATGTGTGGAATATGTGCATGGATTAAAAGAAATATAAACCAAAACACACCCATTTTTTCATCAAACTATTTTTGTACTCCACCGCTAACATTTTATTGATTCTACTCTGCTCTGCATCCCCAGAGAAAGAACAAAGCATTTTAAAGCAGAAGTTAGCTTCAATGCAAGATCTTGAAAATCATCCAGATCGTGCTAAGCCGATGTCCATGTTGTCCACAGATGAAACAAGCGTCACCAGTTCAGAGTGGTGTCTTCTCCTCTCTCAGCTCTGAATCCTGTTTATCTTTTCTTTCTCTACGCTGATGCAGGACAGCAGACCAGCAGAGGTTGTTAAAGTTCAGTCACTCAGTTTCAGTCCAAATGTCCAACCGGAGACCTGACAGTTGACCCCTGGATGGAAATGTTTCATCAGTTTTCTGGTGTCAAACATTGAAATTAGGATCAACAGACACTTCAGTGCCTGGAGTTGATGAAGGTTTTCTTCATCTTCCTGATCTTCTTGATCCACAGGATCTACTGGATCACTTTCATCAGCTGGTAGTGTGAGAGGGACATCATCTGGTCCATGGGAGGACAGGGTGGAGGTCAGAGGTCAGATGCACCTCAGCGAGGCTCAGAAAGAGGGAAGAAGAAGCCAATAGAAATCGATTTGGGTTCATTTTTGTTGTTTTTCTAGATGGAGGCCTATAATCTATAGACTAAAGATTCATGTTCAGAAATGGAAGCATTTCCATTTGTTTAGCATTTTCTGTCTTTCTCTTCATTTTCTCTCTTTTATCCAACTTTCCAAACGTTCCTTGTGTTTCTCCAGATCAACTAGACTCTTTGTTTCTGGTTTCGTTGCCTCAGTTCACTTCCTCTGCTTCTGCTTCTCTTTCTCTTCCTTTCAAAACAATCAGCTTCAATGAATCACCAGCAGGAAAAAAAAACACTTTCCATCCATTCATTCACACCATTTCCAGCAACTATCACTCCAGTGTTCTAATGGTACAATGTGATTGCTCATTGGCTCAGAAGGCTATTTGATGTTTAGAAAACCCTTGTGCAACCTCACAGAAGCTACAGTACTGAATGGGGTGACCCCAAACTTTTGAACGGTAGTGTACATCAGATTTAGTTTATATTTGTTTGCTAATAACATAATTAATAAATTGAACTAATGGTTGTTGCTTCAAAATAAAAAGTCTAATCAGTTTGATTTGTTATAAAGAGCAACAATTTTTTAAAATACAAGATGCCGACTTTACTCAATTAACAGCAGAAGTGTTTGGTTTTATTATTACCACTATTAGTGGACAAAATTCCTGATGTTTCCAATTGATTTTAGTTTTGAAAGTTCAGAGCCTGAACATCACTGAATGGAGGAGCGAAGGTTTCCCAGCATTCAGTCTAAAGAAGCTCAGCTCTTCTCAGCTCTGAGACATTTTCTGAATAAATCCCAGTCAGTGAATCTGCAGACCTGCTCAGATCCAAACATCCCATTTTCCAGGAGTCACTGGTTTCATCTGTGTCGTTGTTCCAGCTGCTGAGGTCAGAATCCAGCTGTAAAACCTGGAGGTTGAAGTTCAGGTTCTCTTTTCCAAATATCCCCCCCCCCCTCCCTCCAGCTGTGAAGGAGAACAGCTGGAAAACAGCTGCATGTGTAAATAATGAGTCTGGAACAAGCTGCCACCCTCTCTGCTGCTTGATCTGACTCTGACTTTAAATTCAGGTTGATGATTGAAATGAAATCAGGGTTTCAACCTGGATCAGCAGAACCTCCTCAGCTGATCCTGGTTTTAACCAGAGACTGTCCTCACTCTGCTCACCACACTAACATCATGATCAATGATTATATAGGAGCTTTAGGAATAATCTGCATTAGAACAATGTGTGGTTTCAGCTGCAGTAGTGTGGTGATGTTAAGGATTATAGTTTAGTTTAGTTTTTCTGATTATTTCCTGTTTGTATTTATATTCTGACCAGTTACTGCAGCAGGAATCAACCAGCTGCTCTTTTCTCTGGACTCTTTTCTCCTCATGACTCCATCATGAAAACATTTTCATCAGAACTTCTCTCCAGTCTCATGAAGATTCATCAACCTGCCTCTGATTTTACAGCAAACCTTCTGCTGCTCTGAAAGAAGAAAACTACAAACCAGGTGAGCCATCATATAATCACTTATGCAGCATTTATAACTCTTTGACGTTTAACTCTTGTTTGTTCAGGTGAAAGTCCAGTTCTGTTGAGTCTCTGTACAGGTGTGGCATTAGTCTGGTTCTCCTGCGCTTCTGTTGGGTTTTGGTCTGTTTCAGATGTTCGTCTTCAACTCTTTGGACAGTTTGAACAAACTGTAAGTCTGTTTTGTTTCTACTAGAAGTTTATCTACAAAAACTTTTCTACTTGTTTCTGTTCTGACATTTAGAGAAAATGTTCATTTTTAAATTCATCTCAAAGATTCATCTCTGCTGTTTGAAAGCTAATCTACAGGATTATTAAATTATTGATGAATTGGAAGAAAAACATGATGCACAGCTTGATGTTTCTTTATTCTATTCTCTAAACAAATTAATTCATCATTTTATTTTCATTAATCAAACTCCAGACTAACTATTAATGTCAAACACAACAGCTTCTTGATCCTTCATTTCAAATTGAAATATTATTATTATTATTTGATTCAGTCACATTATTAATTAGTTGAACTTTGATGGAGCAGATAATCCACTTGTAGAGTTTAATAATTAACTAAAATACTTCCTTCAGGTTGAATCAGTGAAGATAAATGTTGCTCCATGTCTCCATCTAGTGGACTGATAGTAGAAGTGCAGCAGCTGATGGCAGCTTCCTCTGCCTCTCTGCTGTCTGACTGCATTCACCTGACACTGATATGAAGAGGAGAAGAAGAGCCAATCAGAGGAGGAGCAGCTGATCTTTTTCCAGCACTAATGATGTAAAGGATGATCAGAGTTGATGTGCAGATGAATGATGTGTGTTTCCTCTGCAGGTGAAGGTAGAAAGTGTGTGTGAGCTGATGTGGATTCAGCAGCATGGATCAGTGTGAGGACAGAGAGGAGGGAGTCCCTCCCTCTAAAACCACTCTGTGTGGGGAAGATGAGAGCCGGAGCAAAAGTCAGAGGTGAGGTCACCATCTCTAACTGTCCACAGCCCTTTTCACACAGCGTTCACTATATCAGGCCCAGAACAGACGTGGTGATGAAGCTGCTGCTGCTCCTCTTTGCTGATTAAGTTTTAATCATCATGTTTCTGTCAGGATCCATCAGAGACTCAAACCAGAACCAGAACCAGAACCCAGCTGTGTCTCCTTTAAGAGCGACGGGTCAAAGGGTCAACCCTTCATTACCTTTAAATCTCCTGGATCTCCACCATCAGAGAGGTGAGCTGTATCTAATTGCTGTAACTCTGGAAACTGAACCAGTAAGAACTCAGATGTTTCCAGTTATATTTCCAGAGGTTTGATCCATTATCTACAGAAATCAACTGCTCTGTTCTCATGAAAACACCTTCATATCTTTATCTCTGGATGTTGATGATGATGTTCTGTTGCTTCCTGGCTCCATGTCAGACTAACAGTGGATCACATTTCCACTGGGAAATACCTGCTAAAGCCATTCTGGTCCATCAGGACTTGGTTCCTGTGTGCATTGTGAGAGCAGTTCAGCAGGGAAGGAAAGCTTCATGATGTGGTTGGTGAGATCTGCTGGAACTCAACCAAACTGAGCTGATGTGGACCATCAGGGGTTCTGCTGGTTCTTAATGGGATCAGCAGGAAACATTAAATCTTTACAACTACTTAGATCATCTGGTTCTCTGCTCAAATCCAGATATCACTTCATGGACCTTTACCTTCTGATTGTCTCTGTGTGGACAGATACAATGTGAGCTCACTGGCTTCCAAGGATCCACAGGATCAATTTTAAAATCCCAACTATAACATCCAGGAGAGGATCCCACATGGACACACACCCACATATTTCAGACCTCCTCCATGTCCACATCACCTCAGATCTAGTCATCAGAACCTGATGGATGTCCCACACTGTCCTGAAGATCTGTGTGGAGAGCCTTCACTTCCACTGTCCCCAAGCTCTGGGAAACTGTCTCCACCAGCATCAGATCTGCTGATGGTTTGGACTGTTGGAAGTCCAAGTTCAAAATCAACTTTTTAAAATGGCTTCTGGATTATTCTTGATTATTCATCAGTGTAGATCAGGGGTGGGCACTCCTGGTCCTCGAGGGCCGGTCTCCTGCAACTTTTAGATGCATCTCCACTTCAACACACCTGAGTCAAAATAATGAGGTCATTAGCAGGACTCTGCAGAACTTGACTGCATTTAGGAAGTGATTCAGCTATTGGATTCAGGTGTGTTGGATCAGGGAGACATCCAAGAGTCGCAGGACACCGGCCCTCGAGGACCAGGAGTGCCCACCCCTGGTGTAGATCAATGGTTCTCAAACGTTTTTAAGTGATGTACCCCCTTAAAAATATATTTTTAGTCAAGTACCCCCTGACACAGTTAAAACATTTTTGGAAGAAAAAATAGGTACAGTGCTGTAAAATCACTGTCTGATTTATTAAACCAAAGAACTTATATCAGTGAACCTGACAAATACATCCATATTGCAAACATTGCATGTAGAAACAGAACACAGTGACCACCAGGAAGGCATAAAACCAGTCAAAACTGAAATATGCAAAACACTGCTAATTTATATTGGTCTCTGTAAGGGTACAAAATTAAATATATACATAAATAACTAAAATGTGTTCACAAAAATAAATATAACTTAATTATGAATAAATTATATTTTGTTTACAAAATAAATTAACTTAATGAATAAAGATTTGCTCACAAAAAAACGTTACCTCTTAGGATAAAAAAGAAAAGACGATTGCACTTTAATCACTTTGCATTGAACATTTGATTCGATTTGAACAGTATGTAACGGTGTCATTAGACAGAGTTTTGAACGTATCCGCTGATTTTTTTTGTCCGGCAGAGTTTCGGCCAATACAACTGCAGCGGGGAGCAGTAGGTCTTCCGCTATGGTGAATGGTTTTTTGGCTTCAGCAACGAGCTTTTTAAGAAGCCTCCAGGGCTTTGGCTGATGTAGTGGAGGCTTTTTGCATTGTGGCTTTGGATCACTTGAACTCAGAAAGTTTTCTCCTGAAGAACTCCGGTGCCTTAACCAACGTGAGATGCCGCTGGCTAGCATTGGCTAATTTCTCCCAGCAAAAAAAAGACACAGTACCTGGAGGGGGGGGGGGGGCAGAGATCATGGACATAAATCCCATTAACTTTTCCATGTACGTTCTGTACTTCGTTGGCTCTGGTTTTGCCTTCTTTTTCACTTCATCTGAACTTTCAGCAGCATTGCTGCTACGCTTTAGCCACGTCTCCATAGTTACAGTGTAATCATGATAACGACAGGTTATTGACGAGTGAGCTGGGTCCGTGAGTCAAACTAACTTGGTGCGGGGGGGTCTGTTTTATTTTAAAGGGTATTGAAACTAAATGCTGGATATAAAATTTAATGCATGAACACATATTTTATCGAACTTTTTACGAAATAATTTTTCCCAAGACTTATTATGAGGAGCCGACTGATTTTTTAAAGATATTTTGAAAAGCTTCACGTACCCCCTGCAGTACCTCCACATACCCCAAGGGGTACACATACCACCATTTGAGAACAACTGGTGTAGATCATGTTCCTCTTTCTAACTTTGAATTATGTTCATGTCATGCTCTGTTTTTCTGTATTAAGGAGATTTAATATAAAACTCCTGGTGATTCCCACTATGAATACTGCTGGATGAATATTTCTTGACTTCCTAATTGTTCCTGCTTCCTCCACAGAGTGGACCAGCAGAGCTCAGAGGTTCCCAGGGGTCCATCTGTCCAGCAGCATCAAACACAGCTGGACTCCATATTTATGGTCTGTATATGAACAACAATTACTTTTCCATGAGTTTTTTTCAAAGTCACCTTCATGCTGCACTGTGTAGACCAGACGACTGTCAGTCTGTCCAACATCCATCTGGTGTTTGGCTCCATGATTTCACTCTGATGTTTCCTTCATCTATTATTCTGTTCCAGCTGCTGGAGGACAACATTGTCACTTATGTGAAGAAAGAATTGAAGAAGATCCAGAAAGTTCTGAGTCCAGATTATCCAGAAAGTTCAGAGAGTCAGAGAGATGATGAGGTGTTGGAAGGTGATGATGAAGAACAGAGGAGGAGCAGCAGAGAGGCAGTGATGAAGATCACACTGAACTTCCTGAGGAGGATGAAGCAGGAAAATCTGGCTGACCATCTGTGGAGCAGTAAGAGGATTTCTAAAGAGATTCGATTTGATGGATAAATTACACATTTGCTGAAGTGATGTAATCGAATTCAAACGATGATTTTCTTTCACTTCTGATTGTTGTTGTTGTGTTAATTTAGGACATCTTGCTGCAGTTTGTCAACATAAACTTAAATCTGGTCTGAAGAAGAAGTTCCAGTCTGTGTTTGATGGAATTGCTAAAGCAGGAGGTCCAAACCTTCTGAACCAGATCTACACAGAGCTCTACATCACAGAGGGAGGGACTGGAGAGGTCAATGATGAACATGAGGTCAGACAGATTGAAACAACATCCAGGAAACCAAACAGACCAGAAACAACAATCAGACAAGAAGACATCTTTAAAGTCCCACCTGGAAGAGATCAACCAATCAGAACAGTGATGACAAAGGGAGTGGCTGGCATTGGGAAAACAGTCCTAACACAGAAGTTCACTCTGGACTGGGCTGAAGACAAAGCCCACCAGAACATCCAGTTCATATTTCCATTCACCTTCAGAGAGCTGAATGTGCTGAAAGAGAAAAAGTTCAGCTTGGTGGAACTTGTTCATCATTTCTTTAGTGAAACCAAAGAAATCTGCAGCTTTGAACACTTCCAGGTTCTGTTAATCTTTGATGGCTTGGATGAGAGTCGACTTCCACTGGACTTCCACAACAAGGAGATCCTGACTGATGCTACAGAGTCCACCTCAGTGGATGTTCTGCTGACAAACCTCATCAGGGGGAAACTGCTTCCCTCTGCTCTCCTCTGGATAACCACACGACCTGCAGCAGCCAATCAGATCCCTCCTCAGTGTGTTGGCATGGTAACAGAGGTCAGAGGGTTCAATGACCCACAAAAGGAGGAGTACTTCAGGAAGAGATTCAGACATGAGGAACAGGCCAGCAGGATCATCTCCCACATGAAGACATCACGAAGCCTCCACATCATGTGCCACATCCCAGTCTTCTGCTGGATCACTGCTACAGTTCTGGAGGATGTGTTGGAGACCAGAGAGGGAGGAGAGCTACCCAGAACCCTGACTGAGATCTACATCCACTTCCTGGTGGTTCAGACCAAAGTGATGAAGGTCAACTATGATGGAGGAGCTGAAACAGATTCACACTGGAGTTCAGAGAGCAGAAAAATAATTAAGTCTCTTGGAAAACTGGCTTTTGATCAGCTGCAGAAAGGAAACCTGATCTTCTATGAGTCAGACCTGATAGAGTGTGGCATCGATATCAGGTCAGCCTCAGTGTACTCAGGAGTCTTCACACAGATCTTTAAAGTGGAGAGAGGTCTGTACCAGGACAAGGTGTTCTGCTTTGTCCATCTCAGTGTTCAGGAGTTTCTGGCTGCTCTTCATGTTCATCTGACCTTCATCAACTCTGGTGTCAACCTGATGAAAGAAACACAAAGATCTAAGAAATCTTCATTATTTAATAAACTTAAACTAAAGTCTCTCCATCAGAGAGCTGTTGACCAGGCCTTACAGAGTCCAAATGGACACCTGGACTTGTTCCTCCGCTTCCTCCTGGGACTTTCACTGCAGACCAATCAGAGACTCCTACAAGGTCTGCTGACAAAGACAGGAAGTAGCTCACAGACCAATCAGAAAACAGCTCAGTACATGAAGAAGAAGATCAATGAAAATGTGTCTGCGGAGAAAAATATCAATCTGTTCCACTGTCTGAATGAACTGAATGATCGTTCTCTAGTGGAGGAGATCCAACAGTCTCTGAGTTCAGGAAGTCTCTCCACAGATAAACTGTCTCCTGCTCAGTGGTCAGCTCTGGGTTTCATCTTAGTGTCATCAGGAAAAGATCTGGATGTGTTTGACCTGAAGAAATACTCTGCTTCAGAGGAGGTTCTTCTGAGGCTGCTGCCAGTGGTTAAAGCCTCCAACAAAGCTCTGTAAGGACACACATTGTTAATGCAGTTATTTGATAGATAGAAATCTGCTAATTAAGAGGTAAATATTCATATTTCAGTTTATATATTGGTGCATTGTCTCTTCAAAGTGTCCCATTGGGGGTTGAGCAATAAAGAAACAGACTTCCTTCAGCATCTATATAAACAATCCTTCTTTCAAATCAACAAAAAAACATTGATTTGAAAGAACATAAATTTTGTGGAATTGTTTAATGACATATTTTCCTCCTTGTCTCCTCAGACTGAGTTACTGTAACCTCTCAGAGAGAAGCTGTGAAGCTCTGTCCTCAGTTCTCAGCTCCCAGTCCTCCAGTCTCAGAGAACTGGACCTGAGTAACAACAACCTGCAGGATTCAGGAGTGAAGCTTCTCTCTGCTGGACTGAAGAGTCCAAACTGCAACCTGGAAACTCTCAGGTAACTCTGGGCTCTTGACAAATTGCTGCATCTAAGGTGCAAAAAGAAGCATAATTACAGATCGATCCATCCATCCATCCATCCATCCATCCATCCATCCATCCATCCATCCATCCATCCATCCATCCATCCATCCATCCATCCATCCATCAGTTCAGACCTTGGTCTCTACCTCAATGTTCTCATTTTCTCATCATCTGATGAATTGTGTGTCTGCAGCTTATCAGGCTGTTTGGTCTCAGAGGAAGGCTGTGCTTCTCTGGCCTCAGCTCTGACCTCCAACCCCTCCCATCTGAAAGAGTTGGACCTGAGCTACAATCATCCAGGAGACTCAGGAGTGAAGCTGCTGTTGGCTGGACTGAAGGATCCACTCTGGAGACTGGAAGCTCTCAGGTATGGAGGAACCTGCTGCAGGAGCAGAGAAGGTCTGATAGAGGAGGAAGAGGGAGAAATGTCTTTAGTCAGTCTGCTGGTTTTCCCAAGGTTTGTTCCTGGAAGCTGCTGCTGATTCCTCCAATTCAGGCTCTGTCCCCTTTAGAGGAAATCTGTCCATATATGGCGCTTAGAGTCACCTTGATGCTGCAAGGCTTTGTTCAGGGATGAGATGTCAGGATGTTGATGTCAGTCTGTTCCAGGCTTTAGTTGTTCTCCTCATGAGGAGCTGAAGTCTCTGACAGGAACGTGGAGCTGAACAGGAGAAGAACTTGAAGCTTCTTCTTGGCCTCTGATTGCAACAGCAGGACAATCCAACATTTTAGTCTGACTTCATCTGGAAATATTTCTTTGAGCCTCAATCAGTGTGAAGGCAGGCCAGCTCCTCATCAGAGCTGAGATCTTCTCTGTCCTCCATGCTGGAAATGTAGACGTCCAGCAGCTCCTGATCAGTGACATCAGAGCGTGACATCATCAGTAGTGTGATGATGTCATATCCCTCTCAGAGCAGCTTGGAAATCTGAGAGGAAAGATGCAAACAAAGACTCTCTGGACTGTTGGATCTGCTGGTTCTGGTTCCAGATGCTCCTTGGACACTTTCACAAGCCTTTACTGCAGCTGCTGGATTCAGGATGCTGCTTCTTCTTCTTGGGCTCAAGAAGAAGAAGCAAATGTGTGCAGCGCCACCTGGTGGTGCTGGTTGGTAGAGGAAGTGCTAAAAGGTTGGAGGTGTTTGTCAGAGGTGTGTGATGATGGAAGCCTCTCCCTGGTTTGTGAGTCTGAGCTCAGAGATCAAATCTTTGATTCTTGTTGAATCTTTGTTGAATGTGATGCAGCTTCTCCTTTTTAATGTTTGTATTTCTGGATATTACAGTGAGGCCACAGCAGGTTTTCAGCAGCAGGGCTGTTTAGTGTTTCATTCCTTCATCTGTGTGTGGGAGTGTGGATGGATCTATTTCTGTCTCAGTGGAGGACAATGTGTGTCTGAGAGACATGTAATGTCCATGTTTGCTGCTGAAAGAGACTGATGGTCTGACCCCCCTCCTCCTTTCAGGGTGGAGCCTGCTGGAGGCCGATTCTTGACTCCAGGTCTGAGGAAATGTAAGTGTGTTTTTCATCTGATTCATGACAACAAAGCAGCTCACATTCAACCATCTTCAAACTGTCACATCACTCATTCAGGAGTCAAAGTGTCAATAAATGATCAATAACTGCAGCTGGATTGTGTTTGTTCTCTCCATCAGATTCCTGTCAACTCACCATCGACACAAACACAGTGAGCAGATTCCTCAAACTGTCTGAAGACAACAGGAAGGTGACACATGTGGAGGAACTTCAGTCATCTCCTGATCATCCAGACAGATTTGATAACTGGCCTCAGCTGCTGTGTAGAACTGGTCTGACTGGTTGCTGTTACTGGGAGGTCGAGTGGAGAGGAGAAGTTGAGATATCAGTGAGTTACAGAAGAATCAGGAGGAAAGGAAACAGTAAAGACTGTTGGTTTGGATATAATGATCATTCCTGGAGTCTGATCTGTTCAGTTGATGTTGGTTACTCTGTCAGGCACAATAACATAGAAACTCGTCTCTCTTCCTCCTCTGACTCTAAAAGAGTAGCAGTGTATGTGGACTGTCCTGCTGGCATTCTGTCCTTCTACAGAGTCTCCTCTGACTCACTGATCCTCCTCCACACCTTCAACACCACATTCACTGAACCTCTGATTCCTGGATTTGCGTTCTGGTCCAGTTCTATTTCCTCAGTGTTTCTGAGCTGATTTGAGTCTAAAGAGTCTAAAGTTTTTCCTCCTGTCAGAGAAACTCTCTCACTGTTGAACAGATAGTTCAGTCTCTACAATCTATTTCTTGGTGAAACGATTCTGATTTGAGTCCTTGGAAACTTTTTCTTCTTCCAGTCCTTTAAAAATGGAAGCTGGGATTATTCCAGGATATTCCAGTCCTTCTTCCAGGATTCTTCCAGGATCCTCATGTTTTTCTGTTTGTTTCCAGTCAAAGCTTCACATCAAGATGTTATTTTTCTTATTTTTTCTTTCATTCATCAGATTTCATTGAAATATTGATCAGTTTTTCTCAATCTGATCATTTTCTGTTTCTATCGGCTCCTATTTTTCTCAACATGTCAGATTTCAATATTAAATCTTCCTTTTGTAAATTTGCTGCAGTTTTTCTTCATGTGTTTTAAATAAAAACATTTTTCTTCTGCATTTGGTTCATTTGCTGCTCATTCTGTTCTTTTCCTGTTCAAATTTTAATATTTGCATTAAAAACACTTTTTCATCAACTCTACCTTCAGAAAGTCCTAATTAAAGTAAAACATTCCCATCCCACGAAGGTCAAAGGTCAATGCTTTGAAGCATAAAGTGGGAAAATCTTAATATTTTCTGTTTCATTCAGAACTTCTACCGGAAACTCAGAACCTGCAGAACATTTTTCTCTTTGGAGAAAAATCCAAAAGCCAATCAGAACAAGCTTAAATCAGCTAGTTAACCAGAACCAGCATTAATCAGCTAGCTAATGTTGAAAATATAATTTAATTAGCATAACTGTAGAGACAAGCTGTCCTCAGGCATATGAAATATTAGATCTTGCATGAATATTTTGGAGTACATTTACGTTGAGATAAACTTAGATAAAGATCCAAACTAAAACAACTGGTGACTCTCTGAACTTACGTAAATCTCTAGTGAGAGTTTTGCAGATAGACAGGCCTGCACTCCCTTAACTGCTATACAGACAGGGAGTCTGTGTACTATCAGGACAATAAATCCTTTAGTGTTGGTTTTTGATAATCTGGGTGAGATGCTTATTGTAACATTCTGTATGCATTGAATTCTCTGGATAAAGATCTAGATATCTGAAGTCTGATGTCGTATGATTGTTCTTTTTCCCTGAGACTCAAGAACCTGGGAAACAGAGGAAAATTAATGAGCAAAGTGAAGATATTCCTCTTAAATCTTAACACTAACCAGAACCAGTTTTATTCAACTAGCTAACAAGAACCTGCATTAATCAGCTAGCTAACCAGAACCACCGTTAATCAGCTAGCTAACCAGAACCAGCATTAATCAGCTAGCTAACCAGAACCAGCATTAATCAACTAACTAACCAGAACCAGCATTAATCAGCTAGCTAACCAGAACCAGCATTAATCATTAGCTGCTCTCAGGAAGTTTTGATTCATTAACTTTGGATTGTTTTATTTTGGTTCAACCTGCATTTTTACTTTGAATGAATGTTTCCCTGTTTTACTGAACATTATTTGATATAATAATGTTGTGAGATTATTGGCTCATGTATAATTTATGCTACAGAGAACTTTACTGTTCATGTTGTTGAACTGGTTGCAGGTTTTTCTTCTTTTGACTCAGTAGCTGCTGTTTTGTTCCTGCAAGTTTTGTTGCATGTTTACATTAATGAGGTGAATTTATAAGCAGATCCATTTTTAATTTTGCCACATCACATAGTATCATTTCTAACTAAGATGAAAAATAATCAGCGGATCCAGGCGATCAGCAAAGATGGGCCTCATGGTGATCGGTATCAGAATCAGCAGCAATAAACCGGATCTTTTCCTCCCTACCAAAGACCTTTCTAAAATGTCCATATTGACTTTTGGCTGGTATCAAAGTCAGTCGGTTCTGCTGCTGTTAATATTGATACGCACCCTGCTCCTTTCTCTGACCGTGAAATTATCCCGTTAAGCCTTTGGCTCTGGACGCCCGGCATTCCTAGAGCCGTCTGTTGGAAGAGGAACAACAGTCTTCTCTCATATGAGGATGTTACTGAAAGCATCAGATCTCTGATTAAATCCCGCTGGGAGGAAAAGCCTGGAGACAAAACTCCTTTAGTCCTTTTTGGGAACTGTTCAAATATGACAGAGGAAAATCCAGCAGATCCTTCAGCAGGAACCTTGCAGAAAAGAGAAGGCAAGAGGAAGAAAGTCTTTGCTCTCAGACAGCTTCTTTATCCAGGATCAGCCATGATGACCTTCATGAGGATGACCTTTCTCTCCTTAGTGAAGGTCAAACTAAACTGGATGAAATATAGAAACAGAAGCTGGAGGCGCGTTTGTCAGGTCTGGAGCCAGATGGTTGGAGGAAGGGGAGCAGTGTTCTTCCTACTGTTTTGGTTTAGAACAATCTAAACTTCATGAGACTTTAGACTCACTTAAAGTTCATGACAAGATTGTATCAGACCATAAAACTCTTGGTTCATTTGGTTCCAGTTCCTACAACAACCTCTACTCCTCTGAAGACTCCCATGAAAAAGCTTCTTTTCTGATTGACTCCATGAAACATTGTGAAGTTGATCTGAGAACAAAATGTGTGATGCTAACCTCACGCTACAGGAAGTAGAAGAGGATATTTGAAGCCTTAAAACAACCAATCAGCAGGTAGTGATGGGCTGTCAAGTAGCTTTATGAGAAATGTGTCAAAGATGTGAGTCCCTTTATTCTCAGGCTCTTTCAGAAAGTATTGATGGTGGAGAATTGCCTCCTACTTTAACACAAGGCCTTATTACTCTGATCCCAAAGGCTAGCAAAGACAAGTTACCCATTGACAACTGGAGACCTATTTGCTGACTGAACAATGACTGGAAAGTTTGGATTTGGCCAGAAGAATGAAACAAACCCTCAGTTCTATTATTGATGAATCTCAATCAGGCTTCATGTCCCACAGACACAAACAACCTGAGGCTTGTGCTGGATCTACTGGACCCTTCAGAACCAACCAATGATAACAGCTTGATTTGCTTGTTGGACTTTTATAAGGCTTCTGACTCTCTAGAGGACGGCTTTACATATGGGAGCTTAGAAACATTTGCTTTCAGGCCATATTTCATATCCAGCCTCTTTACAAGAAGGTAACTGCTGTGTTAAACTGGTTCCTGTCCCAGATTCCCAGTATCCAGAGGAGAGAGACTGGGCCGCCCAGTTTTCCCCTATTTATTCCTGATGGCAGCCCAACTTCTTGCAACATTTATTCTGGGAAACAAAATGCGCCGCATCCCAGTTGCTGATGGAGAAATGTGTATCAGTCCAGTTGCTGATGACACGACTCTGTTTCTGAGAGATGCCGACCAAATTCCTGTTATCCGTCTCATCCAAACTTTCTCTGATGCTTCAGGCCTCAAACTCCATTTAAACTCATGTGAATCGCTTCCCATGTCATCCTGTCGCCAATCCCATCTTTACAACATTCCTGCTGCTGAAACACAAGTTCTTATTTTGCTGTAATTATCACAAAAGATGCCAAAGAAAGACACCAGCTTGACCTTTGACCCTCCAGCCTATGAAAGCAACAAGAAATGAAAGCAGTGGCTTCAAAGAGATTCATGTTTAAGAGGAAGAAAACTGTGATCTAAAGCTGCAGGAAGATCCAGACTAACTTGTGCTGCACTAGCATTAAATGTCCAAATCAGTAAAACTATTGATAAAATGCTCCACAGTTTTACCTGGAGAATAAAACTCATGACATCAAAAACTCTGAGCTCCTGAACCCTGGAGACTCAGGAGCTCTAAAGTTTTTACATTTATCATCTTTAAATCAAACATTTCAAATCAACTGGACCAGAAGGTTTTTATTGAACCTCCACTCTTTGTGGAATTTGATCAATAATTAGATTTAAACTGGGTGGCCTTTCATTGTTACTAAAGTCTGACTATAATATAGTTAACTAACCTATAGTACTAGTTAGTCTAACTAAAACCAGCCCATTATCAGATGCTTCTTGCTTGGTCTCTAATTTATAAACATTATTTCTCTCCTCACACATTTCTCCTCTGGAATAACCAGAATATTCTTGACAAAAACCAAACTCTGTTTGTCCCCAACTGGTTTTACAATCAGAGAACTTTAGTAAAACAATGACTAAACTCTGACGGCCATTAGATGGATCTTGTGAATAAAGCCTCGTCTCAACCCTCTCTGCAGCTCTGCTCCTCTCTCTCCATCATCTGCATAGAAACATTTCAAGATCATCATTTTTCTTCTCCTTCCTTTCTAAATGGGTTACATGTATTTGTAAAAATGATTGTTGGAGAATAATTGATCAAAAATAAATGCTGCATCCTGTAAGATATTAAAATGTATTTACCTAAACAGATATTATTGTCCTCAGCTTTATTTGAGCACAAAAACATGCACTAGCAGTGACATTGTAGAACACGACTGATGATGATGATCAGCCCTTATCAATATGTTTTATTATTTTTTCATACATTCTGCTGCAGGTGAATCTGTGACTGTTATTTTGAAGATGCTATTGAATTGGTTGCATCTGTGTCTCTGCTAAAGGTGCAGGAACATGATGAGGTGCAGCTTGTGAAGATGTGTGTAATGGGGCTGGGTGTATGTTTGGCATATGTGCAGGAATGTGGCTGGCAGCGGCTAAGATGTGTGTGTGCGTGTGTGTGTGTGTGTGTGTGTGTGTGTGTGTGTGTGTTTAAATTGTCTTGTTCCTGAGCTTCATATATGGCATTCATTATTTTCCTCTTAAGTCTTGTTTTTACCAAAGGGTTTGTAAAGGATTGCAGCTCCTCAGCTTCCTGATCTCCAAAGCAGCATCACTATCTGCATCATCTCTGCTTCTACCTGCCTGTAAAGTCGAGAACATCTGCTGGAAAATGTTTCATTTTTTCATTTCTATTGCATCTGCAGATTGGTCTTTCTTTTGTTGTTGTGAAATTGGTTCAGTTGGAGAAAGATTATGGTCAGTATGAATTACAGATTATTCTTGTTCATGTTCTTTCACAGGCGTTTCCTCAGATAGTTGACAGACAAACCTTGGGAACCTCTGGAGGAGAACATGGAGATGAGATTCCTGCTTTAATCAGTGGATTCATTGATAGAAAACATAAAATGTCTGAGAGCTGAGGTTCCATTTTCTACAGATCTGCTGGAACATCAGATAGAAATGAAGAATTTCATCATTTCACATCAAATCTGTTCATCTTCCACAGATACAACTGAATTATTGAGCTGAACTGGTTCTAAAGGTCTGGATGGTAAAAACATCCATTGTTTTTCTGTCTCATTAGTTTCCAGAAAGAGTTGAAATGTTTCAGAAGCTTTTATCCAGCAGCTCAGTAAAGATCTCTCCTCTTTCCAACCTGATTTAGTCCATGAAGCAGAACATCTCTGCTGCTGCAGCAACACGAGGAAACTTCTCCAGATCTCAACTTCTACACTCTGACTGCTTGGAAACAGATCAGGGAGGAACAGCCTTTTCTCCAGGCTGCTCCTCCTGACTCTAGCACCACCTACTGGCTGTTCACCAGACATGACAGCTGAGGAGAAAAGAAGAAACAAGGAAATAAAAACTAAAACAGCGACCGGTTCATCCAGTCTGAATGTCAAGGTTATGACTCAGGGACATTCTGTTCCAGTCTATGAGGGAATATTCAGTTTGAAAGCAGGATGTCGTGTCTTTCCTCTTAAAATTTTTAATACTTGAACTCAAAACTTCTGCTCTCTTTCAAATATTTACTGTTTTTTCCTCAAACCGTTTTCTTACGCTCAAAACTTTTCTCTCCTTGGATCAAATCTCCCCTTGCAAAACTCTCTCCCTTCCTGCGAATCATTTTCTGATCCATCTTGGAACAGAATATTTGCAATGGGTTGGTTTAGATTTCAGAGGTTAGTTAAACTTTAAAGAGTGACAGGATTCTATCAAAAGATGGATGTTGATTTTTATCAGCTTTTCTAACATTTATCTATCTAGATTGTTCCTGTATTGTTAGAATAGACAGAATCTCTCTATCTAGACAGATTCATCAGCACACAGACACACTCACTAGAAGGAAACAATGGGTTTTCTTTCAGCCCGTCTATAACACGTCTATAATCCAAGAGTTATAGAATCTAATGTAACGCTTGGATCCTATTGGCTGAGCGGTTGCTAGGCGCTACGACGGTTCTTTTCTGTGGGTCCAGCAGCAGTTGTGTTGTGATATTAAGGATACAGTTGAGTTTGTTCCTTTGTTCCAGTTTTCAGATTATTTTCTGTTAGTTTATATTTTTAATAGATTCTTGTTTCTTATTTTTGTTTTGATTATTTTTTGATGCCATAATTGCATTAAACCATAAACTTTTAGTTATTTAGTGTCAAAGGGATAAAAATAGTTAGATTTCCATCTGACCAGCAGCTCCTTGAAGCTGATGACCTTTGACCTGCTGTGGAAGCAGAAAGGATGGACTTAGTTTTTCTCTCAGTGCTTCAGAACTTTGGTTCTGATTCATTTCAATAAATTATGATTGAATATCATGTTTACTTCTGTTGCACTGAGCTCATTTCAAAAGCTGCAGAGGAACAGATGATCTTTTATTCACATCCTGATCATTGAAACATTAGAACTGGTTCTGGTTCGGATCTATTTTTACCATCACTGACATGTTTGGATCATTTCAAAATGCTGCTTCTGGGTTTAATAATCAGACATCATGCAGGTTGTAGTTTCACCACCAGAGGGAGATAAATTTCCCACCATTGAAGAGTCCAGTTGGTTCCAAGTTTAAACTGGTTCTGGTTCCATTAGAGCTGAACAGAACCTCGATCAGCAAAATAAGATCTAGTTTGTGTTCAAACTGGGAGTTATGAGAAGGGTTCATGTCTTCAGTCGTCAGCAGGTAAACTTTCCTCTGACTCCCAGTCTGACCAGTTAAACCAGTTTGGGTTCATTTCTCCTCTTAAGACTTTCAGTTTAAACTCACCTGTTCAGATGTGGTACCAGTTTGGTTCTACTGCTGTTCTGTTGGGTCTCTGATTCTTGTTCATAAATTATTCAGCTGTTTGGATCATTTCAACAAACTGTAAGTTTTATTTGATTTCTACTTGAACTTTGTCTTCAGAAACTTTACTGTTTCTTATTTTTCTCTCTGATGTTTGGTGAACAGAAAACTAGTGACAAGAACTCAAAGTTTATTCTCTGCTGTTTGAAGGTTAATCTAAGGGATTATTAGATTACTGATAAACTGGAATCCAACAGCTCTTGATGAAGAGCTGAATGTTCTTTGAACAAATTGTTTTGTGTTTTTATTTTCTGGAGTTAAAGTCTAGTCTTCACCATTAAAGTTGAAAAAACAAGTTTCAAAGTAAATTTTTTTTCATAATATGTGTTTAATTCAGTCAGATTATTAAATAGCTGAACTTTAATGGAGTTGGAAGATCAATAAATATGAACTAAACTACTTCCTGTTGTTCAGGTTGAATCAGTGAATGCAAATGTTGCTCCATGTCTCCATCTAGTGGACTGATAGTAGAAGTGCAGCAGCTGATGGCAGCTTCCTCTGCCTCTCTGCTGTCTGACTGCATTCACCTGACACTGATATGAAGCAGAGAAGAAGAGCCAATCAGAGGAGGAGCAGCTGATCTTTTTCCAGCACTAATGATGTAAAGGATGATCAGAGTTGATGTGCAGATGAATGATGTGTGTTTCCTCTGCAGGTGAAGCTAGAAAGTGTGTGTGAGCTGATGTGGATTCAGCAGCATGGATCAGTGTGAGGACAGAGAGGAGGGAGTCCCTCCCTCTAAAACCACTCTGTGTGGGGAAGATGAGAGCCAGAGCAAAGGTCAGAGGTGAGGTCACCATCTCTAACTGTCCACAGCCCTTTTCACACAGCGTTCACTATATCAGGCCAGAACAGACGTGGTGATGAAGCTGCTGCTGCTCCTCTTTGCTGATAAAGTTTTAATCATCATGTTTCTGTCAGGATCCATCAAAAACGCAAACCAGAACCAGAACCAGAACCAGAGCCAGAGCCAGAGCCAGAGCCAGAGCCAGAACCAGAACCAGAACCCAGCTGTGTGTCCTTTAAGAGTATCTGGTCAAAGGATGTGATCATTGAATTTAAATCTCCTGGATCTCCATCATCAGAGAGGTGAGCTGTTTCTAATTGCTGTAACTCTGGAAACTGACCCAGTAAGAACTCAGATGTTTCCAGTTATATTTCCAGAGGTTTGCTCCATTATCTACAGAAATCAGCTGCTCTGTTCTCATGAAAACACCTTCATATCTTTATCTCTGGATGTTGATGATGATGTTCTGTTGCTTCCTGGCTCCATGTCAGAATAACAGTGGATCACATTTCCACTGGGAAATACCTGGTAAAGCCATTCTGGTCCATCAGGACTTGGTTCCTGTGTGCATTGTGAGAGCAGTTCAGCAGGGACGGAAAGCTTCATGATGTGGTTGGTGAGATCTGCTGGAACTCAACCAAACTGAGCTGATGTGGACCATCAGAGGTTCTGCTGGTTCTTGATGGGATCAGCAGGAACATTAAATCTCTACAACTACTTAGATCACCTGGTTCACTGCTCACATGCAGATATCACTTCATGGACCTTTACCTTCTGATTGTCTCTGTGTGGACAGATACAATGTGAGCTCACTGTCTTCCAGGGATCTACAGGATCCATTTTAAAATCCTCTATAACATCCAGGAGAAGATCCCACATGGACACACCCACATATTTCAGACCTCCTCCATGTCCACATCACCTCAGATCTAGTCATCAGAACCTGATGGATGCCCGACACTGTCCTGAAGACCTGTGTGGACAGAGCCTTCACTTCCACTGTCCCCAAGCTCTGGGAAACTGTCTCCACCAGCATCAGATCTGCTGACAGTTTGGACTGTTTGAAGTCCAAGTTCAATATCAACTTTTTAAAATGTCTACTGGTTTATTCTGGTGTTTCTTTTCTTCATCTTTGTATTTCATCTTCCTCTTTCTTAAGTCTTTGTATTGTGTCTATTTTTCTGCTTTAAGGGCTTTTATTGTGAAACTTTTGCTGATTTAATCTGTTAACTGCTGGATGAATATTTCTTGACTTCCTAATTGTTGTTCCCAGTGGTCCATCTGCCCAGCAGCATCAAACACAGCTGGACTCCATATTTATGGTCTGTATATGAACAACAAATACTTTTCCATGAGTTTTTTTCAAAGTCACCTTCATGCTGCACTTTGTAGACCAGAGGACTGTCAGTCTGTCCAACATCCATCTGGTGTTTGGCTCCATGATTTTACTCTGATGTTTCCTTCATCTATTATTCTGTTCCAGCTGCTGGAGGACAACATTGTTACTTTTGTGAAGAAAGAACTGAAGAAGATCCAGAAAGTTCTGAGTCCAGATTACAGTCAGAGAGATGATGAGGTGTTGGAAGATAATGATGAAGAGCAGAGGAGGAGCAGCAGAGAGGCAGTGATGAAGATCACACTGAACTTCCTGAGGAGGATGAAGCAGGAAAAGCTGGCTGACCATCTGGAGAGCAGTAAGAGGATTTATACAAAGATTTCACCTGATGTTTGAAGAGATGGAATCATGTTTATTAACACCGTCTTCAGAAAGTAATATCCTTAAGTTACTGATTTTACTTTTTGTGTTAATTTAGGACACCTTGCTGCAGTTTGTCAACATCAACTTAAATCTGGTCTGAAGAAGTTCCAGTCTGTGTTTGAGGGAATTGCTAAAGCAGGAAGTCCAACCCTTCTGAACCAGATCTACACAGAGCTCTACATCACAGAGGGAGGAACTGGAGAGGTCAATGATGAACATGAGGTCAGACAGATTGAAACAGCATCCAGGAAACCACACAGACCAGAAACAACAGTCAGACAAGAAGACATCTTTAAAGTCCCACATGGAAGAGATCAACCAATCAGAACAGTGATGACAAAGGGAGTGGCTGGCATTGGGAAAACAGTCCTAACACAGAAGTTCACTCTGGACTGGGCTGAAGACAAAGCCCACCAGAACATCCAGTTCATATTTCCATTCACCTTCAGAGAGCTGAATGTGCTGAAAGAGAAAAAGTTCAGCTTGGTGGAACTTGTTCATCATTTCTTTACTGAAACCAAAGAAATCTGCAGCTTTGAACACTTCCAGGTTCTGTTCATCTTTGATGGCTTGGATGAGAGTCGACTTCCACTGGACTTCCACAACAAGGAGATCCTGACTGATGCTACAGAGTCCACCTCAGTGGATGTTCTGCTGACAAACCTCATTAGGGGGAAACTGCTTCCCTCTGCTCTCCTCTGGATAACCACACGACCTGCAGCAGCCAATCAGATCCCTCCTCAGTGTGTTGGCATGGTGACAGAGGTCAGAGGGTTCAATGACCCACAGAAGGAGAAGTACTTCAGGAAGAGATTCAGAGATGAGAAACAGGCCAGCAGGATCATCTCCCACATGAAGACATCACGAAGCCTCCACATCATGTGCCACATCCCAGTCTTCTGCTGGATCACTGCTACAGTTCTGGAGGATGTGTTGGAGAGCAGAGAGGCAGGAGAGCTGCCCAGAACCCTGACTGAGATGTACATCCACTTCCTGGTGGTTCAGACCAAAGTGAAGAAGGTCAAGTATGATGGAGGAGCTGAAACAGATCCACACTGGAGTCCAGAGAGTAGGAAGATGATCAAGTCTCTGGGAAAACTGGCTTTTGATCAGCTGCAGAAAGGAAACCTGATCTTCTATGAATCAGACCTGACAAGAGTGTGGCATCGATATCAGAGCAGCCTCAGTGTACTCAGGAGTGTTCACACAGATCTTTAAAGAGGAGAGAGGTCTGTACCAGGACAAGGTGTTCTGCTTCGTCCATCTGAGTGTTCAGGAGTTTCTGGCTGCTCTTCATGTTCATCTGACCTTCATCAAGTCTGGAGTCAACCTGATGGAAGAAAAACAAACATCTAAGAAATCTTCATTATTTAATAAATCTAAACTAAAGTCTCTCCATCAGAGAGCTGTTGATCAGGTCTTACAGAGTCCAAATGGACACCTGGACTTGTTCCTCCGCTTCCTCCTGGGAATTTCACTGCAGACCAATCAGAGACTCCTACAAGGTCTGCTGACAAAGACAGGAAGTAGCTCACAGACCAATCAGGAAACAGTTCAGTACATCAAGGAGAAGATTAATGAGAATGTGTCTGCAGAGAAAAGCATCAATCTGTTCCACTGTCTGAATGAACTGAATGATCTTTCTCTAGTGGAGGAGATCCAACAGTCTCTGAGTTCAGGAAGTCTCTCCACAGATAAACTGTCTCCTGCTCAGTGGTCAGCTCTGATCTTCATCTTAGTGTCATCAGGAAAATATCTGGATGTGTTTGACCTGAAGAAATACTCTGCTTCAGAGGAGGTTCTTCTGAGGCTGCTGCCAGTGGTTAAAGCCTCCAACAAAGCTCTGTAAGGATAAAGATTGTTAATTCAGTTATGTGCATAAAAATCTGTTATTGATGAGGTAAATATATTCATGTATTAGTTTATCAGTGCATTGTGTCTTCACAGTGTCAAACTGAGGGGTCTGGGAGACAGATTTCATTCTGCAGCTGGACATAATGTTACATATTCAAGGAGTAAATTATCTCCTCTTTATGCTAAAATTGAAATATAATACACTTAGACCATACTTCTCTTTCAAGCCTTCTTGTTGCCTGTTCTGTCCTTTAACACTTGAGGATTATACAATGAACCAGTTCACAACAATAATAGCATAATATAGGTCTTAAATGATTCCTCAAATGATTTGAGTTACTCAATTATTAAAATTTGTCCTATAAAACATAATTTATGTTTTATTTAGAACACCTATTTCCAGCCAGAACTTTATTTGCATTGAGCAGAGCTCTCAGGTCTGCCTCTGAGTTTTTGACAAAAGCTAAGTTTTAGCAGTACAATGTCCAGTTTTTACATTCATCCTTTGGTAATTTCCTGCCTCATCAAACAAACTTCCTCATTACAGGATTTGTTGCTGTGCAGTGAGAAGGAAAGATGAGCTGCAAACACAGGCTGAGATGGTAGATACATGTGATCGGAGTTGGTGATCGGCAACAGGAGACAGTGATCGGTGATCATACACTTTTTCACGGAAATCTGCCGATTATAATCAGTGGCCGATCATTCAGCTCACCTCTAATTAATTCATAAATATCATGTGTTAGGAAGGTCTAAGGATGGAAATGCATGCTCTTGTTTTGCAGAAACTACTTTGGGATTAAATGGACTGTACAACTTTGCAAACATCAGCCCATTAAAACATTAGGATTCTTTCACCTGGTGCTTAATGTACCTAGGAAACCAAACCATCTGCTGGTATTTACTGATTATTTATCGGTACATCGTTTCCTAGTCTGCTGCTAGCAGGTGATGAGTAAAAGAGAGACTGACTCTCGTCGGCAAGTTAATTAATGCAGTTTATTGTAGATTTTAATATTTCTCTCTCCAGTGTCCTTGTTGCCTGTAGTTCAGTTCTTCAAGTCTTGAGTCCCAACTATAGAATAAACCAGTTCAAAATAAAGATATCATAAAGTTTAGAAAAATATGACATTCAATCAGTCCAATAAGAATATTGTTGACTGTAAAGTAACACAAACATTTGATGGATTAATAACAGATTTTCCTCCCTGTCTCCTCAGACTGAGTGGCTGTAACCTCTCAGAGAGAAGCTGTGAAGCTCTGTCCTCAGTTCTCAGCTCCCAGTCCTCCAGTCTCAGAGAACTGGACCTGAGTAACAACAACCTGCAGGATTCAGGAGTGAAGCTTCTCTCTGCTGGACTGAAGAGTCCAAACTGCAACCTGGAAACTCTCAGGTAAAATGTTCTCAATCCTGGTGAAACCAGATTTCTGTTCATTACCTGCTATAAGATATGATGTAAATTTTATTTCAGTATCAGATTATAACATCAGTAGATGTCTGACTGTGATGAGGCTAATCATGCTAAGTCTTGACACATAAACTCAGCTGGTTTTCATTTATTCCAGGCTGAAAGAACCAAGAAGAGAGGAATGTAGAAAGATGGAGATCAGGCTTTAACTATTAGTGTAACGCTGGACACTTGACAGATTGTTGCATCCTCAGAGTACAAAGAAGCATTATTGCAGATTCTTCCTCCAATCAGTTGTTAGACTTTCTCATAAATTTTACAAATGACGCATTTTAATTTTTTTATTATCTACAAAATGAAATAGTTTTATTTCTATTTTATTTTATGAACAGGTGAATCTCCAGTTTCTTAAGTGTTTTCCTCACATTAATATGATCAGTTCAGACCTTGGTCTCTACCTCAGTGTTGTCATTTTCTCATCATGTGATGAATTGTGTGTCTGCAGCTTATCAGGCTGTTTGGTCTCAGAGGAAGGCTGTGCTTCTCTGGCCTCAGCTCTGACCTCCAACCCCTCCCATCTGAAAGAGTTGGACCTGAGCTACAATCATCCAGGAGACTCAGGAGTGAAGCTGCTGTCGGCTGGACTGAAGGATCCACACTGGAGACTGGAAGCTCTCAGGTATGGAGGAACCTGCTGCAGGAGCAGAGAAGGTCTGATAGAGGAGGAAGAGGGAGAAATGTCTTTAGTCAGTCTGCTGGGAAACATTTAGGTTGAAGATTAAAATTTATTTTGCTAATTCAGTATCTGGCTTGTATTTATTTCAGTTAAATTATAAATACTGCTGGTAATTTTGACTATGTAAGTTTGCAAACTGCATACAATTAAAAACTATAAGAATCTTTCACATGGTTCTGAATGAACCTGGGAAACCAACCCATCTACTGAACCACAATAACATGGTATTCAGAGCAGCAGGGGGCCAAATATAGCTCCATGTGGAACCAAGAGGTTGGAGAGAGAAAATCAGTTGAAACTGTTTCCTATCAGAGTTCAGTTTGTCTCTCTGTCTTCACAAACCAGGAGCATCATGGGCTGGGCGGGGCTTCCACTGATGATCTACTGAGGAAATACAGGAAGCTGATTGGCTGATGGACAGGAAGTTAAAATATGAAGATTAATAACATCATAAATCAGATATTATTGGTGTTGTGTATAGATGTAGTGCTGGATCACATGGTGTTATTAGTGATTATAGATCAGCTGTTGCTCACCTGGTGACTTTAGTCAGTGATGAGGAGGTTTAGTTTTTACTGATCACTTTAAGCTTTTATGTTTTTATCTCTGATCTTTGTTTAAACCTGTTAATCTGGTTTTAATGCTTTTGGACACAAATATCTGTTATCCACTGATGTTCTGGATCTTTGATGATATTGAGGAAAATAAAATCATCTTAACTGCAGATTGGATTTAAGTTTTGATCAGAGATTTTGTTTGACAGTCGCTAATAATTAGTAATAAAGAGACATGGCTGAGAGCAAATATAGATTTTAGAATCAGTTTAAATGTTTCAGTGACAGGAAGAAAGAAAGAAGAAACATAAATAGAGGAACTGATCAAGAAAGATATAATTATTATCAATAACATGTAGTAACTTTAATGCATATGGAATATAATGGGATGGAAACAGAAAACTGAAAGTAACTGTAAGAGCAGAAGAACATTTAGAGATACGAACTGATGATGTTTGAATGATGGAAAAGAGACAAAAGATGTTGATGAAGGAAACGGATCAGTTCTTGATTTAACACTCGTGTTTAGGAAGATTTCAGCTGATTGTGGAAAATTCTTCTGACTAAGAACGTGAGGAGAGCCTGGAGCTAAATAGGAATAAGAAATAATAATGAAATTATTCTGATTCAACTTCTTCAAACTGTCACATCACTCATTCAGGAGTCTAAGGAGTTCAGCTGTTAGATTCCTATGATAATTTACTGAGGATAGAAACATTAAAACCATGTTGGATGGAGCTTCAGACCAATCAGCCCCCAGAAGCAAGAGGAGAAGAAAAGCAGCTCCATGGTGATCAGATGGATGTTTAAAGATCTCAGAGTGAAATAAATAAATTCAGATGTAAAGCAAACCTCTCAGCTTTAATGAATTTGTGTTTTAAAATATAAAACACATGAAAAAGTGAAGAAAAAACTATTCATAAGGCAAAGAGATTTAGAAGTTTAGTAGATCCATCTATGTGGCAGTTTATCTCCACCAGGGGGCGACATCTGGAAATGATCAAAAGTATGAATGAAATCAGAGAATAAAAGAAATCCCTTGTTTTCCAGAAGGATGGAAGAATTGGAGTGAATGATGGAAAAAGTAGAAAATGTAAAAATGAGAGCAGAAACTGGTTCAGATCCAAAGTTCTGATAAATTTACTAGGAAAGATAAAAAGACAAGATCAGCTCATCCAGAACTTCTGCAGTGGAGGGAGGATTACTTTCACAAGCCATTACTGCAGCTGCTGGATTCAGGATGCTGCTTCTTCTTCTTGGCTCATTGTAAATGTGTGCAGCGCCACCTGGTGATGCTGGTTGGTAGAGGAAGTGCTGAAAGAGACTGATGGTCTGACCCCCTCCTCCTTTCAGGGGTGGAGCCTGCTGGAGTCCAATTCTTGACACCAGGTCCATGGAGATGTAAGTGTGTTTTTCATCTGATTCATGACAACAAAGCAGCTCAAATTCAACCATCTTCAAACTGTCACATCACTCATTCAGGAGTCAAAGTGCCAATAAATGATCAATAACTGCAGCTGGATTGTGTTTGTTCTCCATCAGATTCCTGTCAACTCACCATCGACACAAAGACAGTGAACAGAAAACTCAAACTGTCTCAATACAACAGGAAGGTGACATTTGTGAAGGAGCTTCAGTCATATCCTGATCATCCAGACAGATTTGATTACTGTCCTCAGCTGCTGTGTAGAACTGGTCTGACTGGTCGCTGTTACTGGGAGGTCGAGTGGAAAGGAGATGTTTTTATATCAGTGAGTTACAGAAGAATCAGGAAGAAAGGAAACAGAAGAGACTGTTGGTTTGGATGTAATGATCATTCCTGGAGTCTGATCTGCTCTGATCATCATGGTTACTCTGTCTGGCACAATAACATAGAAACTCCTCTCTCCTCCTCCTCTGTCTCTCACAGAGTAGCAGTGTATGTTAACTGTCCTGCTGGCATTCTGTCCTTCTACAGAGTCTCCTCTGACTCACTGATCCTCCTCCACACCTTCAACACCACATTCACTGAACCTCTGATTCCTGGATTTGCAGTCTGTTCTAGTTCTGGTTCCTCTTCAGTGTTTCTGAGGTGATTTGAGTCTAAAGAGTCTAAAGTTTTTCATCCTGCTAGAAAATCTCACTGTTTAAAAGATAGTCCAGTCTCTATATGTCTGTTTCATTCAGAAATATATTTTCATGGATCCAAACTGTGTCTTGGTTAAACTTTTCTACACAACCCTGGGATTATTCCAGGATTATTCCAGGATTATTCCAGGATTATAACTGGATCAACATGTTTTATCATTTTCCAGTCAAAAATTCACAATGAATCTCAGGATGTTTTTTTTCTCTCTCTTGATTTTTTACCTTTCATTTATCATCAGATTCTTTGAATGTACTGCAGTTTTTCTCAATTACTGAATATTTTTTGTTTCTGTTTTCTCCTATATTTTTAAATTAATCTTGGATTCAAATGTTATTTTTTGTATATTTACTGCAGTTGTACTTCATGTGTTTTAGTGAACAATAAACATATTTTATTCATTTGCTGCTCATCCTGTTCTGTCAGTAGATTATTTTTCAATTTTAACTCTGACTTGTAATTTACATTTAAACATTCCCATATTGAAACATTTTAAAATAAATTTTTATTTATTTTTTCTTTCTTTCTTAAAAATGTTTTCTATGTTTTATAAGTTTCAATATAATCTCAACAATTTCCCCCTTTTTGAAGTATTTTCTATATGGAAATACATCAATCAAAGTCCACTACTGCAAATAAAAATTCTGATGGAACAGATTCATCATTGTACCTTAAAACAAATCCTTAGTATTCAATGCTAAGTTTTCTTTCTCTATTTCACTGTTCCAGGTATCTTTTATGCATGATAGTTTATTTTTCTACATCCAACACCTTTAGTTTCGCTACTATTGTTTCTGTTTTTATATTTGATCAATTAACCGAGTGTCTTCAAAGAATTGCTACCTATCATAACGTTTTGTCAAATTTCACAAGGTAGAACATTTCCTTTTATCCCCCAAAAGATGTTTCTAGTTGGTTCTTCTCCAAAACACTGTTCTCACTTTTAATGAAAATTAGCCTTTCCAAAATTAAATCAAATCCCAAACTGTCCAATTTCCAAAAATGTGTCAATTTAACGTCCATTAATCAATTAATCCTGGATTTAAAATTTCTAAGCCTCAGTCATAAACCAGGTTACTTTATCCACACGTTCTTTTCTTTTCAAATCAAAGTAATTAGTTACTTTATTTTCTAATATCAAATGATTAATGTGATCACTTTCTCAACTTTTGTGTACAATTTGTTTGCTATTTTCATTTTATTTTCTGATTTTATTCTAATCACACAAAGTCATACTATGTAATCACAAACAAACAATAACACAACAAACAAAAACATAAAACATTTAGTCTCGTCGTGGTCAGTCACAGTCAGTCTATTATCTACATTTTTCTTTCGCTCAAATTTGTTCAAAAGTATATATTGAAACTTCAAATATTTTCCAAATGTTTTAGCATTTTTTTTTAAATGTTTTCCTGTTTAATTTAGTCTTCAATATTGTAATTACCATGTGCACATTCTAAAAAGATCACTAACTTTATTAGGGCCTGACAACAATTAGTAATTTCCTGCTGTTGAAACATGTCAGTTTCAATAAAATATAGATTCATTTCCTTTATTTTAGAATGATCGATTCCATTTTAGATGCATCAAATACTTAAATACCACTGTCTCTATAATTTTCAACAATTTAAGTTCTCAACAAATTCCTTCATTGAGGAAATTCCTTAAATTTCAACTTACTTCCATAACTAAATAGTTTAAAGACTTCTTAATTTCTTTATTTTATTTTCAGGATTGTTCTAATAAATTTTTTGTTGTTAATGTTTATTAATTTGTTTACTATTTTGTTAAAGATCACTGCCCTTTTCTTAAAAGAAAACTTTCACAACAAACATATCATTTATCTTTTAGGAAGATTTAAACCTTCAAGATGACTCTATTTTTTCCAAAACTCTTCACATTATAGTTTTAAAGTTCATCACATCATCTTACTCATTAATAATTTTTTAATTCGCAGAATTTTATGATGTTTTAACTCCCTTGCAAAACATAAACTTTCTTGATCTTTTGTTCTCAATATTCAGGGATCACTAGAACAACTTTTCAGAGTTTCTGCATTGTAGAATCATTAAAAACATCTATTAATGCGTTCTTTGTTTATTTGATAATTCTTATATGAACAGATTAGCAAGCAAACAGTCTTGGCTGTGATCACAATGTCCATAAAATATATTACCCTTAATATATTTTATATACTTTTTCCTTGTTTTTGTATAGTTCTTAATTTACTTTTAGCTATCAGCTTTATTGCTGCATTTGTCTTTTCTCACCAACTTGCAACCTCCCCCACAGGAGATTCATAACCAGCACATTCCTAAGTTATTCTGATTTTATCACTTGAACTAATAAAACAGCATTTTTCTCATCAAAGCATAAATTGAGACATTAAATTAGATAATGTCCTCTCAAAAGATCACAGTACCAAATTAGTATTTTCTTTACAGTTGTACATTAATATAAAAGTATATTTATTTTTACAAATGTCCTAAAGAATTTTAACTAATGTTTGACAAGATATGTTTACCAATTTTTTAGACCCAGCGTTTTGATGTTAAAAATTTACATTTAACATTTTTATATTATTTCATTAATCTCAATTAATTTGCTTGCTTAAACAATCCACTCTAAAAGAAAATGGTTCTTTGAACTTAGATGGGCCATAAAACAATTTTGCACCTCCTTCACAAACTTTCCCTCACCTTGTGAAAGAAAGTATTTCATGGCAGCAGGAGAAATCTGCTGTTTCATTCAGATTTTAGCATTTATATCTCAAATTCATCTTTTAACTTAAATTGTTTGGGGTACTTCTGTTTACATTCTTTAACCTTTTATTATGCACTGATGTTTTGTCATCAGGACTTGTTCTCACCTTTATATACAGCTTAAGATGTTGAACTGATGTTTAGATCTGCTATTCAAACTATTTTCTTTCTGTTGAACCAGCTGCAAGATCAGGGGAATAAGGCACAGCTACAACTTCTGCCTATTGTAGTTCCTATTGTTCCTATTGCCTGTTGTTCTCCTGAACAGACCTGTTGCTTTGTCCCGCTTACTTTATTTTCAACATTGTCTCCTGTTGATTTTGTATTTTTATGTTTATCCATAACACTGAGATCATAGCGAGCTGCGTGGGGGTTTATTTGGGCAATCTAATGAATAATCACAAAACAGTTATCCTGCTCTTTTGAGGACATCTGTTTTCCTCCTGACTTTTCTATTTAGTTTCATTTTTGTTTATTATATACCTAATTTATAATCACTTGTAATCATGTCACTACATTTTGATATCTTCAATTGTTTCAAATATTGTTTTTCCCATTAATCAATAAGTTATTTCAAACTTTAATACCTTTCTGACATCAAATCCTGTAAATTTTAGCAAACTTTCCTGTATTTAATCAATTTCTATTTATCAAGAGAGTTACCTCTAGTTTATCCTGTACTTTAATTATCAATAAGTTCTGTAGATCTAATAATATTGATCCATTTTAATAGAGTTTTGTTCACTGTTAAAAGAATGTTATTTGTTAAGGGCTTCTCGCTCTAAAGTTCTGCTCTTTATTATTTTATAATTAATTCATAAAATGTCCCTATTGTAATTTTTGTCTTTTATTTTATTCCTCCTTTTGACCTCATACAAAGTCCATCATGATGTTTCTCCTCATATTCTGGAGGTGAGGGCAACAGGGTATAATCTAGCACTCTGTTCAACATTCTTTTTAGATTTTTTCTCTCCAATCTCTCGTTTTGTGCTACTTCTAACCAAAATTTTACATCACACCTTCTTTGTATATATATTTATATTTAATTTGAATTTGTTTTTTGTTTTATTTTATCTTGCAGTAGAATTAATTTCTGTATGTTCAGACTGCCATATAAATGATACTTTGTTATCCATTTATCTAAGTGTTTTATTTTACACGGATCCTGATCTTTAATGAACTTCCAGTTGTTTGATTTGAGACTGTCTATTGGATTAGTTTTACTTATCTCTTTCCCCATTTTTTTAAATTTTTTAAATAAAATTTAGACCAGTTTCAGACTTGGACCTAGTCTCGTCTGGAAGTATGCATTTTGGAGGTGCTATTTTGATAGGTTGCAAAGGCACCTGCTGCTGCTCTTGCATATCTCCTGCTTCTCCTGCTTGCTCAATTAATCCCTGATAGGGTCCTGGCATAAATTCATCATCTTCCCTTCTATAAAACAACACTTTCTTTTCTTTCTCTTCCTCTCTTTCTTTCTCTGCCTCTTGTTCTTTCTTTTTCTGCTCTTTTTCCCCTTCTTCTCTCTTATTTGCCATTTTCATCCACACTCCTGTTTGTTCATAACCTTCTTTATCCATCAATTTTTCTTTGTCCTTACATTTTTCTCTTATTTTCCTTCTCAATTCTGCAATGTTTGCAGTGCTTAAATTACCATTAAAGCCATATTTGTGTACCCAGTATGCCAGTGGTTCAACTGCTCCTGGTTCTTGTTTCTCAACTACCTTCCAATCTTTACAAATTCAATCTTCTAGTTTTATTTCTTTTTTCCATTTTTAACTATGTTTTGGTCCAGTGTGGGGTAACACCTGGTGTGTTCTAACACTGGAATATTTTCAGCAAGATGGTGATAAAACTTCCTGTCTGTGGTAAAGTTCACTTCAACTCTTTTGAGTGGAACTTTCTTGCCTACATGCAGCCACAGAGGGTCACCATTTACTTCCTTGCTGTTTTGGTATGAAATCAAGTATCCAGTGATACTTAAATTTCCTTTCACTCTCACATACACACTCTGTTCTTTGTCACGGAATTTAAGCGCCTGTTTCGCTGGACTCTGCCGTCCATTTAAACACGGGTATTAGTCGGGCCCCGTTCCCACAACAGGTGCGGTTTGTAAGATCTCAAACCAGGTGAGGTTGTAAAATACCGAAGCAGGTGAAGTTTGCCAGTCTTCGTCCCAGTAGGGCTTTACAAAACCTCCAGCTAGGTAAGGTTTACAAAGCATTATTTTCTAGTTTTTTTATTATTTATTATTGTTTTTTTTCTTCTTTTATTTTTATTTTGATCACTCTTTTATTTCTTCACTCTTTTATTTCTTCAAGCAGGGAACTCCATCATCCCACGGACTTTAATTACTTCTATGAGTAAAGGACTCCGCCATCCTCACAGAATTTAACTGCTTGTTTTAAGTTACCTGATAGTGTCTAGAATTGTCAGGGTTTTATTTCTTCACTTCTTATTCTCTATTTTATTGCAATATTCATCATTCACCACTTCTTTTTAAAAGAAATTTCTGTCAGTGTCAGTCTTCCCCTGGATGTCCACCAACCCACCGGATCCCAGCCTGTGAGAAAAGACCAGTCCCGGAAAGGGTCTTAGTGCAGTGGCCACAGACTTTTCC